GTCTCTTCAGTGTCCCTTCAGTGCCACACCCAGAATGGTGGGGCCTGGGAGGTCCTATGGAGGAAGCTCTAGCCCGCAGAGCCCTGCTGGTTCTCTGCTGATGGGCACCTCTGTGTCCAGCATTGTGGGGGATGGCGGTCGGCAAGGGTGTTGGAGACCCACTGTGACTAGCGGCCTGTCACTGGCCTGCTTGTTCCCAAGATCCAGCTGGGATCCCTTTATTGTTGAGCAAACTGTTCTGCTCCTGAGGCTGGAGAGAGACTCAGAGACTCAGCACCCCAGGGTGCCTCCCAGGCTGGCTGCTGTTGAGTCTGACCTCTCATAGGTCAGGCCCCACTTCTCCGTGGCCTTGCTGTCCTCTTAAGACGCACAGACGTCTCCGCTCTTAGTCCCTGCTGTCTGTGTGTGGGGGAGCTGGCATCCAGTACAAAACCCCTTCTAGGCCTTTTAGCCAGGCTTTGGCCTCAATCAGCCATTTTTAACTGCAGTTAGTCCCTTAAAACACACATCTTGAAAGTACATTAAATCGTGGAACATACAGGTAGGGGGGCAAAAGCAAAAAGATTACCTCAGTTGTGTTCTGAATTTACCTTGCAGAATTCTTCCTGTTTATACAAAAGATTTGAAACCATGGGAACGACAAAGCTGATTTGTCAGGGAAGTGGGATTTTTTTTTTTTTAAAGATTTTATTTATTTATTCATGAGGGATAGAGAGAGGCAGAGGCAGAGGGAGAAGCAGGCTCCCGAGGAGCAGGGAGCCCAACGTGGGGCTCGATCCCAGGACCCTGGGACCACGACCTGAGCTGAAGGCAGACGCTTAACCGACTGAGCCACCCAGGCGTCCAGGGAAGTGGGATTTCTGTTGTGATTTTCAGTAATGTCACTTGTACGATACTTTTTTTTAAGATTTTATTTTATTTATTTTTTTTAAATGTTTTATTTATTTATTCATGAGAGTCAGAGAGAGAGAGAGGCAGAGGCAGAGGGAGAAGCAGGCTCCCCGCCGAGCAGGGAGCCCGATGCGGGACTCGATCCCAGGACCCCAGGATCACGACCCGAGCTGAAGGCAGACGCCCAACCATCTGAGCCACCCAGGCACCCAGATTTTATTTTTATTTATTTGAAAGACAGAGATAGCACAGAAGCACGAGCAGGGAGGAGAGGGAGAAGCAGGCTCCCCACCGAGCAGGGAGCCCAGGACCCCGAGATCATGACCTGAGACGAAGGCAGGCGCTTAACTGACTGAGCCACCCAGGCGCCCCTATACATTGTTTTAAAACAAGGAAAGCTCAGGGCACCTGGGTGGCTCAGTCAGTTAAGTGTCTGACTCGGTCTCAGCTCAGGTCTTGATCTCAGGGTTGTGAGTTCAAGCCCTGCATTGGGCTCCACACTGGGCGTGGAGCCTACTTAAAAGAGAAAGAAAAAACAAGGGAATGTCAAGCTGTAAAGATGTAGGTCAGGTGTACAAGGACAGAGTATAAGGTCCTAAATGCTTTATATTGATGGTGTGGCAACGTCTGCGACGTGTCTCCATTATCTGTCCTTCTTAGTCATAGAGAGCCCAATTTTGATCCCTGTGCCTGGAGGTGTGGCCTTGTGACTATGGGGGGGCCAGTAGGATAAGAACAGAAGCTTCGGGGTGAATACCAAGCAAAGACCTCACCCAGAGAGACCGGCCCTCTGAGCCCTTTCCTTTCCTCTGCCCATGGGAATGTGGAAGTGATGGTCGGAACGTGAAGTGTGTCTAAGACACGAGGTACAGCCTGTGTTGAGAACGGAGGGAGAGGAACAGGGACTCCCCGACCATCCAAAGGCATCACACAGCCCTGGTTTGCTCAACTGGGCTTCATTTACTAGAAAGAGAAACAGACTTGTACCTTATATAAGCAATTATTTTCTGACACTCAGATCTAGTTCCAGGTAATACAAGAGAGACTATCGCTGAACCCAGCTCGCAAGAGGACTCAGTTACCAGCTAGATGAATTTGGAAGTATATGGTTGTTGTGTTGATAATCTGTACTTAGTAGGACGTACTCATTTGTTGCTTGCTTCCCACGCCCCAGAACGGAAGCACCATGGGGGGCAGGGACACTGTGTAATTTCCTGCCACTTTTCTAGCTCAGAGCCAGATACATGGTAGAATATTCATCTGTATTTGTTAAATGAAAGAAAAAAGAAGCAGAGGGAGACCCTCCGGAGGTCCAGGAGGAAGCTCTGGGGGGCAGACCTGACAGCTTCCACAGGGCCCTGGAGAGTTGCCTATGGCTTGTGGTGTGGGGTGAGCCCAGTAAGGTGAGGGTAGCAGCCCCCAGCCAGGCAGGCCACCCTCCACCCACCTCAGAACACCCAGCAGCCTCCCCACAACCAGGCCCACTGCAGACACCCTACTTGGCCTTGGGATGCCTCTAGCAACTCACCTGGGTGTCCCAGATCTCCTGCGCTCTTCTCAAACCATTTGCCTAGTCACCCCACTCCACCTAAAGTTTCAAGGTCGGCAGGTTGGGGGCTGCTCTGGACACCGTTAGCCAAAAACTGCACCCGCAAGCCCCAACTGCCTTCATGCCCACACTCAGGTCCTGTCTCCTGCCCAGGCCCCTCTTCTGAGGCCCCAGTGTGTCACCTCTGGCCTCCTGGATGTGTGATGGTCATCTCTAAGTTACAGTATCCCAACCTGAACACCCCACGCGCATGCACCTTTTCCCTTGGCACACTCATGCAACCCTGGCCTCAGCGTCAATCTTGTCTCTCTTCAGGGGATGCCCAGCACTCCCAGGAGAGACCCAAACTCCTTACCTTGGTCTTCAAGGCCTGTGCATGTTCCTCAGAACACTCATTGCCCCCAAAGCAGCCTGTGCCTCCGCCTCCTGCCCTTCCAGCCCGACACCAGTAATCTACTTTCTTTTTTTTTTTTTTAAAGATTTATTTATTTATTTATTTATTTTGAGAGAGAGAATGAGAGACAGAGAGCATGAGAGGGAGGAGGGTCAGAGGGAGAAGCAGACTCCCTGCCGAGCAGGGAGCCTGATGTGGGACTCGATCCCGGGACTCCAGGAATCATGACCTGAGCTGAAGGCAGTCGCTTAACCAACTGAGCCACCCAGGCGCCCAGTAATCTACTTTCTAACCCCAGATTCAGACTTTAACATGGATAGCCTCAGACACACGTGGTCTTCTGTGTCTGGCTTCTTTCACTCAGCAGGATGCTTTGAAAGTTCATCCACATTGCAGTATGTGTCACAACTTCCTTGCGTGGCCAAATACGTTCCACTGTCTGGACATGCCACATTGTGTTTACCCATCTGTCAGTTGATGGGCATTTGGGTTGTTTCCTCTTTCTTGCTTATTATGGAGGATGCACCTGTCAACATTCATGAGCAAGTTTTTGTGGGAAGGTACGTTTTCTCTTGGGTATACACCTAGAAGTTGAATATAAAGCTCTGAATTTCCACCTTAGCACTGCTCTTGACGCATCCCATATGTTTTGGTACGCTCCGTTTTTGTTTTCATTCACCTCAAATTACGTTCTAATTTTCCCTGTGATTTCTTCTTTGACTAACTGGCTATTTAGGAATATGTTATTTAATTTTTCACGTGTATGAATTTCCCAAATTTATTTGTTACTGATTTTTAATTTCATTCTGTTGTCAAAAAACGTACTTTGTATGATATTACTACTTTAAAATGTACTGAGACTTGTTTTATCTTCTAAATAACGGTCTATCCTGAAGAATGTTCCGTGTGCACTGAGAATATGTGCTTTTCTGTGGGGTGCATGTTAAGTCTAGCTGGCTTAAGCGTTGTTCAAGTCTTCTCTTTCTTTGCTGAGCTTCTGTCTAGTTCTGTCCATTACTGGAAGTATTGAAGTCTCCAGCTATTTTTTGTTTTTTTTTAAAGATTTTATTTATTTGACAGAGAGAAACACAGCGAGAGAGGGAACACAGGCAGAGGGAGTGGGAGAGGGAGAAGCAGGCTTCCCGCCGAGCAGAGAGCCCGATGCGGGGCTCGATCCCAGGACCCTGGGACCATGACCTGAGCCGAAGGCAGACGCTTAACGACTGAGCCACCCAGGCGCCCCATCTCCAGCTATTATTGTTGAATTGTCTATTTCTCCCTTCCATTCTGTCAACTTTTACTTCATGTATTTTGGGGCAGTAGGCAAACATATATTCATAATTGTTATGTCTTCTTGATGGATTGGTCCTTTTTTCATTATAAAATGTCCTTCTTTAACTCTGGTACCAATTTTTATTTTAAGGTCTATACCGTTTGATGTTAGTATAGCTCTTTTTTGATTACTGTTAGTATAGATGGTATATCTTTTTCCACATTTTTACTTCCTACCTATTTGTATCCTTGAATCTAAAGTTTGTTTCTTATAGACACCATATAGTTGGGTTTTTTTAATCCATTATGCCAATTTCTGCCTTTTAATTGGAGACTTTAATCCATTTACTTTTTTTTTTTTATTTTTTAAGATTAAGATAGCTGTTTTCCAGTGTACCATCTTATTTCTTTGACTATATCTTCTGAGTAATTTTCTTAGTGTTGCCCTTGAGATTACAACTAACATCTTAATTGATAATCTGATTTAGGTTAACAGTAAATTAATTCTGGGACACCTGGCTGACTCAGTTGGTAGAGCATGGACTCCTGGATTCAGAGTTTGAGTTTGAGCCCCATATTGGGTGTAGAGATTACTTAAAAATAAAATCTTTAGGGGCACCAGGGTGGCTCAGTCAGTTAAGCATCCAACTCTTGGTTTCAGCTCAGGTCATGATCTCAGGGTCATGGGATAGAGCACCATGTCGCTCTGAGCAGAGCCTGCTTAGGATTCCCTCTGCCTCTGCCCCTCCCCCAACTCGTGCGTGCGCGCGAACTCTCCCTCTCTCTGTCTAATAAATACTTTAAAATAAATCACTGAACTCTACCTCTGGAACTAATAATATACTATGTTAATTGAATTTAAATTAAAAACATAAAAATATTTTTAAAAAACCAGTAAGTTAACTTCAGTAGTATTAAAAGATGTTGCTCTTATATAACCGCACCCCTTCTTTATGCTGTTGTCACAAATTCCATCTTTATGCCTCCTGTGCCTGTCCACACATTTATAGTTATCACTTTTATGCAGGTTTTTTTAATCAGATAGGAAAAAATTATAAACAAAAATGCATTTATATTTGTTTTTATATTTACCTATGTACCTTTACTGGTCCCTTTTTTTTTTTTTTAACTGGTGTTATTTCTTCATGTGGATTTGAGTTACTGCCTCGTGTCCTTTTATTTCAGCCTGAAGACCCCATTGAGTAGTTTTTGGAGGGCAGGGTTCTTGTAACAAGCTCTCCTAGTTTATTTATCTGGGGTTGTCTTAATTTATCCTTTGTTTCTGAGGGACAGTTTTGCCATATATAGAATTCTTGGTAGGTTTGCTCTTTCAGCACTTGGAAAAGGTAATCCCACTGCCTTTTGACCTCCATGGTTTCTAATGTGAAATACGTGTTTGTATTTCGATCGCTTATATGTGATGAGTCACTTCTCTTGCTGGTTTCAAGAGTCTTTTTCTTTGGCTTTCAACAATTTATGAAGTGTCTAAGTGGGGATCTTTTTCAGTTTATCCTACTTGGCATTCATTGACTTTCCTGGATGTGAAGATTCATGCTTTTCATCAAATCTAGGAAATTTTCAGGCATTATTTTTTCAAATATTCTTTCTGTGCCTTTTCTGTCTCTTTTCTGCTCCTGAAAATTATGCCTAGGCTGGTATGCTTAATGGTGTTCCACCAAAAAGACCAATGGTCTTTTTTTTTTCCTGTTCCTCAGACTGGACAATCTCAAGTGACCTAACTTCAAGTTTACTAATTCTTTCTTCTATCTATTCAAATATGCAGTAGAGCACGTGTCCTGAACACGCTGTGAAGGTGCACACACGAGCTGTGTCTTTCCCCAGTGTCCGCTTTATTCAATCAGAAAGCAAGGTTAATATAAAGCAGGTTTAGGATTCCAGCCTCAGTGATACTTCACCATGTGATTAACTTGGCTTCTTAAACGGCACACAACAAACAAGATAACAAGGGGGTAGGGAGTTCACAAACCAAACACGAAGTCAGTCTGTGGGCGGCGGCTGAGATGAGGTCTCAGTCAGGTCCGGGTCAGCTCTCGGCACTGACTGCTCCTTATGTTCGAGCAGGGAAGCATCTCAGTCCTGTTGGGAGATCAACCGGGCAGAGCCTTGGGCAGCAACTGCCTTTCTTTCTTTCTTTTTTTTTTTTTAAGATTTTATTTATTTATTTGAGAGAGAGAATGAGAGAGAGAGAGCACATGAGAGGGGGGAGGGTCAGAGGGAGAAGCAGACCCCCCGCTGAGCAGGGAGCCCGATGCGGGACTCGATCCCGGGACTCCAGGATCATGACCTGAGCCGAAGGCAGTCGCTTAACCAACTGAGCCACCCAGGTGCCCAGCAACTGCCTTTCTGAAGTGGTCACACTGAGGGGGTCTGTCTGTCTAGAGGGGTCAGGTCCGAGGAGACTGATAGTTTGCTGCAAAAATCCTCCCCTTTTAAAGGGATCTAACGGGTCTGGGGCCCTGCAGACGTCCTCTGCTTCTGCTGGTTATCAGTGCTGGGGTGTGAGCTGATGCTGGACGTGGCAGGATCTCGTGGCTGCGGTACCTTTACCTGCTTGTGTCCTTGCTTGACACAGGCTCCTGCTCGAGTGAGTGACTCCATCTTGCTCTCTACAGTGTCTTATAATTTTTTTTTTGTTGAAAACTAGACATTTTAGGGACACCTGGGTGGCTGAGTTGGTCAAGTGTCTGCCTTCAGCTCAGGTCATGATCCCAGGGTCCTGGGATTGCGTCCCAAGTCAGGCTCCCTGCTCAGTGTGGAGTCTGCTTCTCCCTCTCCCTCTGCTGCTCCCCCTGCTTGTGCTCGCTGACAAATAAAATCTTTAAAAACAAAAAAGAAAACTAGACTTTAAAATTTTTTTAAAAATATTTTGTCAGCGCACAAGCAGGGGGAGCGGCAGGCAGAGGGAAAAGCAGGCTCCCTGCCGAGCAGGGAGCCCGATGCAGGACTCGATCCCAGGACCTGGGGATCATGACCTGAGCCGAAGGCAGACACTTGACCGACTCAGCCACCCAGGTGTCCCAAACTAGACATTTTAAATAATACAATGTGGTGATGCTGGAAATCAGATTCCAAGTATTGTTGCTGCTTGTAGTAGTTGTATTTTGTAGTGATTTTTCTGAACTAGTTCTGTCTAGTCTGTAATATTTGTCCTGTGTGGCCACTGAAGTCTCTCTTGGGTCAGCTCAACAGTCCGCTAACGATTGGACAGACTTTAAATGCCTGCGATCAGTGAGCTTCCCAGTCTCCCAAACGGCTCTGTGCGCCTGTTGAGGCGGGCCTTTCAGCACTCAGGCCGGCGGTCAGCAACTCTGCCTGCGGATTCCCTTCACCGTGCACAGGGCCCCAAGGTCAGCCGGGGGTAACCATTTAGGGCTTTTCCAGGTCTTTCATGAGCATGTGCGTACCCTATTTATGTTTGTGACCTTTCATATCCCACAACATCCGTGTGGAGGCTCTATTCGCCTTCAAAGCTTTCTGGTTACTCTCTTAGCAGCTGCAGCCGTGACCCACCGCTTGGGGCAGCTTTGAAATCACAAGCCCGCCCGTAACTGCCCTCAGCCCACAGCCTCAAGGCACAGACTACTTACCGGTCGAGGCGAGCGCAGCGAGGTTTGCAGGAGGGCCCGCACACAAGTCAAATACGGCAATTATCTGCACGGAAGGGGTTCCGCTCCCTTCAGTACCAGGAGTGTGGGCTGTCGTTTCCAGGATTACCTCCGGGCTGGGCAGCAGCTTTAACCAGGGAAAGTGGAAACACCTCCCAGCTCCCTGTTCTTACCGAGATTGGGCTGCTTTTCTTAAACAAACGCTGCTGGGATGCTGCAGTCCTTCGGTTAATTAGCTTCCAGGGTTCTGAAGACGTTGAAGACGATCTCTGCGAGCTTTCCCTTGGATTTATGGGGGGAGAGGGCTGCAAACTTTCCGAGGTCCTTACTCCTCCGACGGACGGCGGTTTACGGGGACCCCCGGCTGCCGGGGTCCCGACTCCCGCGCCCGCCAGCTTCCGGGTAATGGCATGCGCCCCGCAAATCCTCGTCGGACGGAGGAGGGCGAGCAGAGCGTCCAGCCGTGCGCGCGGGCCGCGGCGCGGAGGCCCCCAGCCTTCCGGGCCGGCTCACTCGTGCCCGGAGCCGGGGCCCTGCCCGGGGCGGAGGGGGCCGCGGCCGCCAGCCGCCCCTTCTCTGCGACGGCCACCGCGCCCGCGCGGGAAATGCTGCTGCACGAACGCGCGCGACGGCCCCCACGATGCCTTCCGGGCCGGGGAGCACGACCGCGGGGGCCGGGGGAGCCGCGCCCGGACGCGGAAGCCGCGCCGCCGGCCCGGCCCACTTCCGGTTTCCACGACCGCCGGAGGAGCGCGGCGAGGCGGAGCCCCGCCCCAGGCTCTCGCGACGTCTGGGCTCCGGGCGCCGCAGGGGCCGACGGGAGCAGCGGCCGCGCTGAAGAGGCCAAGATGGCGGCGGCGGCGGCTTCGCTTCGCGGGGCGGTGCTGGGCCCGCGGGGCGCGCGTTTGCCGGGCGCGCGGGCCCGGGGTCTGCTGTGCGGCGCGCGGCCCGGCCCGCTCCCGCTGCGGACGCCTCAGGTGAGCTCTGGCCGCGGCCCTGTCCGCCGCGTGGCCCCGCAGCCCCTGAAGGTCACGGCGCGGCGGCTCTGGGCGCGGGCCGGGCAGCGAGGGAGCGGCCTCGGCCACCGGCGCCCCCGCCCCGGCCGGACCCCCGCCGCCGCCGACCTGAGGCGCCCGGGAGCAGGACCGGCTCCCAGTCCTCCGAGCAGCGGACGCGCCCTGTGCGGAGCGTGGGGGGCGGCGGGGCGGGCTCGCTGCGGGCTCGGGGCTCGGGGCCGGGGGCTTTGCGCGGAGGGCGCGCCCGGGCCCGCTCCCGCTCCGGCCTTCCAGAGTGGGCCTGCGTCCCGAAGTGACCTCAGCCTGACCTCGACAGCTGCTTGTGACCTTGGCCTGCCCCAGCACCCTTGCTTGCGTCGACCTCAGCCCCAGCCCCGGATCCAAACGCCAGCCTTACGCCCCCTCCTCCGGGCCGGATCGCGGCCGAGGAGTCGGGGGAGGCGGGCGTGGGGCGGGCGGTGGTGCTCCGCAGGAGTGGGCCGGCGCTGCGTGGACGAGTGGGAGGGGTGGGCGCGGAGAGGCAGATCCCCAGGTAGGGCCGGGTGGTGTTCTGGCAGGCGCTGAGCGGGGCTCTTGCAGGCAGTGTCCCTGTCGTCGAAGGCCGGTCTGTCCCGGGGCCGGAAAGTGATGCTGTCCGCCTTGGGCATGCTGGCGGCAGGGGGTGCAGGGCTGGCTGTGGCTCTGCATTCTGCCGTGAGTGCCAGTGACCTGGAGCTGCACCCCCCAAGCTATCCGTGGTCCCACCGCGGCCTCCTCTCTTCCCTGGACCACACCAGGTGTGCTGCTGGCTGGCCGGGGGTTTCGGGGTGGACTGGGTGGGGTGCAATCCCTGCCGCCCCTAATCCGTACCGTCTCTTCAGTATCCGGAGGGGTTTCCAGGTGTATAAGCAGGTGTGCTCCTCCTGCCACAGCATGGACTACGTGGCCTACCGCCACCTGGTGGGTGTCTGCTACACGGAAGAAGAAGCTAAGGCGCTTGCGGAGGAGGTGCGCGGCCTGGGGCTGAGGAGGACCCAGGGATTGGGGCTCCCGCTGTGGTGGACGGCAGGGTTGTGATGGGGCTCTTCGTGGCAGGTGGAGGTTCAGGACGGCCCCAACGAGGATGGGGAGATGTTCATGCGGCCAGGGAAGCTGTCTGACTACTTCCCGAAACCATACCCCAACCCTGAGGCCGCTCGAGCGGCCAACAGTGGAGCACTGCCCCCTGACCTCAGCTACATCACGAGAGCTAGGTACGGGGGCTGCCTGCAGGGGGGTGCGGGGAGGGAGAGGAAGGTCCGTCCTGTGCCAGGGCTCAGGAGGCAGGATCTGGTCTCAGGCACGGTGGTGAGGACTACGTCTTCTCCCTGCTAACGGGCTACTGCGAGCCGCCCACCGGGGTGTCACTGCGAGAGGGCCTCTACTTCAACCCCTACTTTCCTGGCCAGGCCATTGCCATGGCTCCTCCCATCTATGATGAGGTCTTGGAGTTTGATGATGGTGAGAAGCCCCCCGCCTGGGGATCAGCATGCTGGGTCCTCTTCCCACTGCCAGGGATGCTTCTCCTGTCTTGGGCCCTGCACTCTCCTTGGCTCACGCACTGTGTGTCTGAGCCAGCTTATGGGCAGCCTCCATAGTCCCGTCTAGCCCAGACCCCTATGTACTGGGGGGAAGGGGGTCCCATTCCTTGTGAAGCCTTGGTGAGGAGCCCATCCTGGCTGTGTGTGGGGGTGGTGCTCCAGGGCTATCCCAGGTTGGGTAGGGACCTCCAGGGGCAGCCCTTACCACTCTTCCTTGACTCAGGCACCCCAGCCACCATGTCCCAGGTGGCTAAGGACGTGTGTACCTTCCTGCGCTGGGCATCCGAGCCAGAGCACGACCATCGCAAACGTATGGGGCTCAAGGTGAAAGGGTTGGGCCTGGGAGAGGGGCTGGGAACCGGGCAGGGCTCCTTTCTGCTTCCTTCCTCTGAGCCTGCCTCATCCCCAGATGTTGATGATGATGGGCTTGCTAATTCCCCTGGTCTACGCCATGAAGCGGCATAAGTGGTCAGTCCTGAAGAGCCGGAAGCTGGCGTATCGGCCACCCAAGTGACCCTGCCCAATGTCTGCTGTCTTGTGTGAATGGGGAGCCTCAAGCCAAGGAGCCACCCTGGACCTGTTCAGGCCTCAGCTGGCCCTCTTGGCCAAGCCCCACTTTCTTTGGTTAAAGAGGGGAGGGGCCAGGAGATCAGGTTCTAGCTCCAGATCCTTCAGCCTCCATCATGGAAATAAATTAAGTTTCTCAACACACATGTTTGAGCTGTTGTGATGGGAGCACAAGTTTGCAGGGGACTCAGGGACTAAGACCCTTGCTCTCAAGCTCCCAGAGATGTTCCATGGAATGTGGCCAGCATTGCCATGTACAGACTGGTGACTGGATGACTGCAGTCAGTACTGCATGTGGAACAGGGAACAGCTGTTGAGAGAAGGTTGCAGCACTCATCGAGGTGGGGAGTACCCGATCACAGAGGTGAAAAGGGCCTGGCTTGGCCAGACATGGCCCAGGGGCCTGGTGGAATAACCAGTCATTTGTCAGTGTGTGAACCACTGGGCTTTCATCCTCAGGGCAACAAGGAGCACTTGGCAGCATTTCAACAGGGGAGAGGCCTGGCCTCAGGGAGGAGCTGCTGGGGAAGGGAGACAGCCTCCATCTGTGCTGAGAAAGCAGAGTAGGCAGAAGCCACCCTGAATGTGCTCTTGGTCTCCTGGCTGGGCATCTGGGGTGGTCCCAGCAGCACACAGCCCTGCCCTATTGCTCCTAGCTTCGGAGCTTTTCTTGTCCCCAGGAGGGGAATGTAAGGAGCATCCTGGCTGGAACAGCCCACGAGTGGTAGCCAGAGTCTGGGAAGGGTGGGAGCCAGGTGGGAGAAAGAGCATGTGCTTGGAGGTTTCTGGGTGGACAAGACGCAAGGTCAGCGGCAGGACTGGGATGGGGGCTCTTCATACTCTTGGGGTCTGGGAAGAGAGCTCAGCCCCATGCTTCTAGGATCCCTAGGGTTTGGAGTCCCAAGTACTCTTGAGTAGCCACCTGGACCTGGCTGGGTTGCCCCACCACCAGCTGATGAGGACCAGGCCCCACCTCTGCCAAGTTTCATCCCAGTGGGGCTGTGCCCCGCCCTCCATCCTCCCAGCAGCTCAGTCTGCAGAAAGGCGCAGAGATGGGGCACTCGGCTGGCTCAGAAGTGTCTTTAATGACTCCAGATTGTGGCCCCCCCACAACCCCGGCGTGATCCCTAGTGAGCAGTCAGCAAAGGTCCCCTGAGAGTTTCAGGAGGGGGGGTCCAGGGACCTTGGGCCTGGAGGGATTGGGCCATCCTCTCTCTCTGTGACCTGGGCGGGAGGGAAAGCTAGGTCACTGGGCTTGTTGGGCCCCTCTGCCCCCTTCCCCTTCCCGCCTCTGGTACCTTTGGCAGCTGCTGGGTGGAGGCTGCAGGAAGGGGCTCCCACGTACAGGGCTTCTGGGTGCTGCACACCTCACAGCCAGGCCGGTGGGGGGCGTTGATGAATGTGCAGGAAGGGCAGGACCAGCCGGGCTGCGGAGAGGGGGAGAGAGCGTTGCTTCTCTTTCCTTCCAGGGCCCAGAAGGCCCAGGCCCACCCTGCCCAGCCCCTGACCCACCTGAAGGGGGTTGGGGAGGCTGGAGCTGGCTGGCTGAGGAGCTCTGGGCAGCCCCAGTGACTGAGGAAACAGGCGGCTTAACTCCCCATTTGTCTTCTGGGGGCCCTGAGGGCTGCGTCCTGCAGTAGACGAGGTGGAGCTGAGGGGTGTGGCAGGCTGCACCTCGCCTTCCTCATCCCATCCACGTCAAGGACTCACCTGGGGCTTCTCGAGGGGCTGAGAGCAGGTAGAGGAAAGCAGGATCCCCATCTCGCCGGACCCCATAGGAAGCAAGGCTGCACTCGGGCACACACAAGCACCGCCCAATGACCCAGCGCTGCACAGCTGGTGGGAAGCCAAACTCCGAGAACACCTGGGGCCGGAGCATCAAGGCCAGGCAGTGTCACTGAAGGCCCCCTGCCCCAGCAGGGCTCCCCAGACCCCATGCTTACCTGTTCCTGGAGGGTCGCAATGGTGCAATGGGGGTGGACTTGCAGCGAGACGTGGGCAGAGGATGCAGCATCTTCAACTGTGACCTGTAGCCTGGGCCAGAACATAGATCAGGGGGAAGGTGGGGGTCCTGGAAGGGTTGGGATGTCAGAGTGAAGAAGGCCTCACCTGATGGGGCCAGGAGGGAAGCAGGCCTCCTGGAGCTGGACACTGAGGGCCACGTGATGCTGAGCCAGGATGGCTGCTGCTTGGGCTGCCCCCTTTTCATCCCCATCCTCGATGGCCCGGGCCAGGCACCCCACCAGCTTTTCTGCAGGGGGAGGGAAAAAGCCATCAGAGCTGAACACAGACTGCTGCTTCCACCCCCCTCTGCCACCTGCCTTTACCTCTCTCCATAGAGTCTCCAGGGCTCCAGCAAAGATCCACCTTGGGTTGTGGGGCCTGGAGTGTGGGCACTTCAGGGGGACTGGGCGGGGAAACAGGGCACATTTCTGGGCCCAGGGCTTGGGGCAGGCTGCCTAGGAGGGAAGATGTGGGGTGGGCTGGAGTCTCCTGAGATCCAGCCCTCAAGCCGAGTACTCACCCAGGCCTCTGCTCTCTGACCTCAGGTTTCGAGGACCATTGCCACCTCCTTGCTCACCTCAGCCCATGCCGCGGCCCTTGCCCACACATTAAGCCAGACTGTCCCCCTCAACCTTGG